CAGGTGAGACCTGAACAGCACACGTTGCTATCTGTGTTTAAACTAAACTCATTTAAGCCTGGCCAGTTTAAATATTAAAGAGCCAAAAGACGCAAACTCGCACGCGCGCGCGCGCGCAGTGAGAAGATGTGTGTGTGCGCTCATCCGAAACGCAAGAACCCGCGTCTCAGAACGTGCGCAAATACAGGTGCATCTCAATAAATTAGAATGTCGTGGAAAAGTTAATTTATTTCTGTAATTCAACTCAAATTGTGAAACTCGTGTATTAAATAAATTCAATGCACACAGACTGAAGTAGTTTAAGTCTTTGGTGCTTTTAATTGTGATGATTTTGGCTCACATGTTGCTTGTAGTTCGATTATGTGTTCATATTTTCTTTATTTTTATTTGACAATATAGTTTTTTCCCTAAACATAGCACATACCGAACCGTACCAAAACCGTGACTCTAAAACCGTGATACAAACCGAACCGTGAGTAAGTTGAACCGTTGCACCCCTACTAGACAGACTTTAACTGTTGCGGCGCAGACACGGTGTTACTCACCTAAAAAGAAGAAACAAAGCAACCTCAGCGTCCGATCGCAGGACTTCCGCTCCTTGAGTTCTCTCCAGCGCCGGAAAGCTGATCCGATATTTACACGGGTCCTACTTCTTGCCTTATTGCCATAAGCCTTCTTTTGTTCCGCAGATGTTTTCCTCTTGTTTTTTTATCCGCCATCTCTATCTTTCTGTCGCTCGGCTCGCTAATGTGAGCACTGAACGCTCTCTCCTCCACATCAAGAGTAGACACGCCCCTTACTGCTGATTGGCTGGAAGTTTGTTTTGCTATTCGGCCCGAATCAGTTTTCTAAAGCGTTTCCGCTTGCCCCACCTTTAAGTTTAAGGTTGTATTTGTGTTGTTTTTGTAGTGAACTGGCTAGAGACTAAAATAAGTGCACACTGAATTCAATACAGCAGATAATCTTTTAAGAACTGAAATAAAAATTTGATATGAATTACATATGTAATTTGCGGGTGGGACGGGTAGGATTTTTCCGTCTGAACATCCGGACTTGCAGTCGTGCACCTGGCTGTTCAAAAATGCCCTTCAGTAAGTTTTGGAACTGAGGCAGGTATAAGCTCATGGCTTCTTTTGTCAAAAAGTAATAATAAAAATCTAAAATGGGTAATCGCTTGATTTTCAAATAATATTGACTGATATTAGAGTCAGAATAGCACTGGACTGAGAGTGTGCATGTTTGAGTGAGTGAGACGGAAATCATGCATAAGCATTTTCTCCTATCGCTCCACTCCGCCTGACTGTCACGAATTACGTTAAATCAAGTATAGTTTTTTAGTAGATTTGTGTTCACATCTTTATTTGTTAAGCAAAGGGCTGAGCAAATGTTTATTCATTATAGTAGTGCTGTACAGCATATGTGATTTTGTGCATGATGAATTTGGCAAAAAATGTACCCTAAATTTAGGATCGGCCGACTGCCACTCCCAGGATTAAGACTAATATTATATGTATTACATAAAGATCAGATGGTGATTGGTTGATGCACCCATACTTTTTGGAGATTTTCACAGGGTGTCTTCCTTTTACTGTTACTGTAGACTGTGTTTTCATAAGTCTGTTTAAGTTTGAGAGTGTACTGTATAGAGACTCTTTTTCCATGAGGCCAACCACAAGTAATAGACCAGAGGAATTCATTCTGAGATGTGTAATATATTCCTAATTTTTTCAGGCATCTTTTCTAGGAAGGGATTTGATGATCAAATAGTGTATTCTGCTTGAACTGAACATTAATACTGCTGTCTCTTTCTTTTTGGAGTTCACTGACATCACACTTTTTTTTCCAACAGCTCGTGACCTCTGGTAATGTTTGATTTAATTAAAGCCCATTTTAGTTTAAAAAAAGATATATTATATATTATTTTTAATCCTGAAGTCAGCACTTTTTAAATGATTCAAACCAAATGGTTTTGTCAAGTTCGTGGTCCCATAGAGCCACTATGAAGTGTGTGATTCATATTATGTGTTTGATAATGCTGAAGTGCTTTGTCTTTTGGAATACTCTTGGAATAAAATTCACATTGACAGAGGTGCAGCCGTGTTTGTAAGCAGAGCCCGCATTGACAAGTGTTCATGGTCATTAATTTGAGTTATGTCATGTCGTGTTACTTACTCTGTAGCTGTAGCGGACAGTGTCATTACACCACTGTATTAAGACCTTGACTATAGACTAGGGCTGTCAAAAAAAATTTTGAATATTGAATATTCGTCGAATTTAAAATAAAAATCTTTTTCCAACAGCTCGTGACCTCTGGTAATGTTTGATTTAATTAAAGCCCATTTTAGTTTAAAAAAAGATATATTATATATTATTTTTAATCCTGAAGTCAGCACTTTTTAAATGATTCAAACCAAATGGTTTTGTCAAGTTCGTGGTCCCATAGAGCCACTATGAAGTGTGTGATTCATATTATGTGTTTGATAATGCTGAAGTGCTTTGTCTTTTGGAATACTCTTGGAATAAAATTCACATTGACAGAGGTGCAGCCGTGTTTGTAAGCAGAGCCCGCATTGACAAGTGTTCATGGTCATTAATTTGAGTTATGTCATGTCGTGTTACTTACTCTGTAGCTGTAGCGGACAGTGTCATTACACCACTGTATTAAGACCTTGACTATAGACTAGGGCTGTCAAAAAAAATTTTGAATATTGAATATTCGTCGAATTTAAAATAAAAATCCACATTTGAATGCAAAAACGTTGCATTCGAATTTTAGGTGTGCATCAAGGCAGCCTTATCAGTGGTGCACGAGATGCGATGACGATGTATCATTGCATTTTAATGTTTTTCTTAGCCTATCCAGTTGAACCCACTAGATGCGGCGCTGCTACGTTGTTCATTAAAATATTGCGGGGAAAAAAGAACATTAATGCGGAGATGGTGTCAAAACCAAAACCAAACCGTTCACGCAGAACGCATATTTATCACATTTTCTAGAGGCTGAGAAATTGCACTCGCATCTAGCACAAGAGAGACGCATGTTTAGAAAGCCATGTAAAATTAATGTAAGTTCAACTTTTTAAAAACATGTGTCAAGACTTTATGGCGGTTTTTCCCCATCCTACTGCATCTCAAGTTTTTAAATGAAGAAAGTACTCTTTGTGATTGGTTTTCGTCCTTTGTATTAAACTATACATGCATGATTCTGTTTTGTTTCTAATTGTTTAAGAAACTTTAATTATATAAGGTTTATAAACATTATTT